GAAGAGAAAAATGATTGTTACATCTTGATAACGAAAGAGAGATTTTGTTTCTTATCAAAACTTCCTAGAAAATATCGTTATCCATTGATAATTATTTGTTCTTTCGTATTCGTCATAGAAAGTAGGATTTGGCTACAGTATCGTAAAATATCGAGCATTTCATAACATCTTACAAGTATACAGTTATAACTTGTAATAACAAGTCTCAACAGAATTAGAAGTCCGACTTTGCTAGATCTATTTTGGTTTTTTTCTAGAAATAACTTTCAAAACGATATCAGCATTTGTAAAGTAAATCAGGTGAACTTACTAGAAAATATTACTTTATAGCATTAAGATATAAATTGATTCAGAAATAACCTTATGGCTCCTTGAACGCGAGGATTCCGCAAGAATCTAGCGAAAGACTAGTAACTTCTTCAATATCGATGCTCGGAGCGAAAAGCTTCTACATTTGTTAAGCATTCTACTGTCCTGTTGCTGAGCAACCGCTGCCCGAGGATCCTTTTTGCTTTACATCTGCAACAGAAATCATGTTGATGAAATATGTTTATTGTTTTCATGCTAAGGCGTCTCAGTGGCGAACAGAAGTCAATTCAATAAAAGGAGTTAATACTCATAATAATACCTCTATTTACAGAAGAATGCTCAAGACACCATGTAAGAAGTTCTCACCACAAACATCCCCCTCGGATAAGGGAACTCTTATCCCATCTTCTCCTGTGCTCACCATTTTCCCACGCACAATAAACACCATCTTTTCTATCACACTACCGTGATATAGAATTTTGCTTTCTTTGATGTATGTCTTTTGTCTCAACCTCTCACAAATCGAATCTAATATTGGTTCGTCCATCAGAGCAAAAATCCGAACCTGTGAAATGACACATTTCCAAGTTTACTACGGATAGACATAATTTGACAACATATTATCAATGACAAAGCTCAAGGAAGTTACAAAAAGCTACAACTACTGCAACAATAAAGACAACAATTTCGTTTTATGCGCAATGTACCAACTGGTATACAACTTCAGATTTTAGATATTCTGTTGCTTACTTTCGTCACAAATTTGAAGAGATGGCGTCTGATGTCTCTCTGAAGGTTTTCAGGCAAATTCTCAAACAGCATTTCTTCATTCACCCCTCTGGTTGCAGCCCAATTATATCGTTCAGCTGCTCGTACTTGCTATTCATTACAGCAATTTTATAGGTCAATTTGTAAATAGATGTGCAAATCATCTGAAGAAAGAACTAAACAAAGAATACAATTAACATTCTCATTCTCATCAACGCCATTCGTAACATCTATGATCTTTTCACACAGGAGAATAATAGCCCTTGATCAAGCCCACCTAGAGTCAGCAGAGACTAAACATCTCACTGAAACCAAACCTAAGACCAGATATTCTGATAAAAGGTCAACTACTTTTTCATTTGCTTCAGACATAAAAGTCTATAGTGCCATTTGCCGGCATGATCCTTCTCGTCACTCAGGAAAAAGCTTTACTTTTGGGATCCAATGAACAATTTACTAGGGGATCAAATAGAGGTTCCGGTCCATGATTCTAATTAGATAGAACCTACAACACTGCTATATTTTACTTGGAATGAAAATCAAGAAAGGGTTGTCTTTGTTTATAGTAATAAATTGACTGCCTATTTATATTGTTCATTCAGGTGTTTTCAGTGACTTGCATGGTGGGCACGTCTAGAGATAAGACAACAGCCCTGATGGGGCGTTGACAAAGATCAAAGTTTAAACACAATTTCACAAGCCATGTAGTCAAACAAACACATTTTTCAAATGTATAATTCACAAGTATGATATAAGTTCAAACTTATGGTGAAATACTTCTAAGGTCTTCAGGCAAGCGCCTAGGCTCATCATTGCTCCACATCTCGTCTCCTTAGTGACATTTCTAACTTCCTGAAAAAAGAACAAATATCATTTAGCAAAAAGTCCCATTGAATGATTTATTGAAAATTCAAAGTTGTTTAACAAGCTAAACTTAATTAGTCACAAACTATTCATTGAAGAGAATCCTAAGCATACAAAATTTATTGGTAAGAGAGGCATTTGAATATTGGATGTCAAATATTCATGTTAGCCGATTTTCTCTTTAAGACAAACTCTTATTATTATAATTGTGTACCTGATTTGCCACATGTAACCTTCAGAATATGGAAATTTATCAAACATTTTCCAGTGGAATCCGTTGAATTTGAGCGAGAATCAAATGCATTAATTACAAGTATGTTGAATACGTCGTCTGTCGTTGGATCATGGATATTATCTACTTATTGAGGGGTTTGAGTTTTGTGGGAAAAAAGTACCACTGGCAACAATATGACAATCTTCTAAAAATGAATTAGTAAAAAGTTGTACCTCTTTACGAGAGCCTGGAGGAAGTTCTGCATATTCAATAGAAAAGCAAAGAGCAGAGCCGAGTCCAATAATGGCCATGGTAAAAGGACTTCCCAAACAAAATAGCTTGGAGTTAGATTTCCCGCAAGAGTACTGATTTGCTTCAAAAATATCAAACATAAACACATAATGTCAAAAACAGTATCAATAAGTTTACAGAGTTTGAAACAATATTTATTTCTGTTGGGATCCATTGAAGGGAAAAGGTGGGCATGTGGGTATAAAGGCTTGGGCATCCCCCTTAGCAGCCGGTTTTCCAAGGAGAGTTCTACCAAGCCCATGAAAGACCCATGGCCCAGAAATTGTTGAGTTATTAGAGTGTGTTCCTATCAATGTTATCAGAGCATGATCCTGTGCCTATGTGGCAGGACGAGTGGCAGGCTGACCCGTGGCTGACCCGTGGCAGGCGACCTTGGGCCCGGGCTGCTACCCCGAGAAAGGGCATGGAGGCCCGAGGGAAAAGGGGATCCGCGTAGTCACCCAAGGGTAAGAGGCCGACGGGGTAAAGAGGCCGACGTGGACGTCGGTTGCAGAAGCGTGGTGGAATGTTGGGATCCCACATTGAAAGGAAAAGGGTGGGCATGGGGTTATAAAGGCTTGGGCACCTCCCTTAGCAAGCGGTTTTCCAAGGAGAGTTCTACCAACACATGAAAGACCATGGCCAGCCCAAATTGTGGGATTAGAGTGTGTTCCTTCAATTTCACTATCGAAAATATTTTATAAAAAGATACAAGACAGAAAAAAAACATATGGGAGAGGAAAATATGAAGCATAACTGGAAAGCGAAGTACTTCAATCCAAAACCAATTTTTCGTAATACATGTTAAAACAGTGTACCATTAAAGAACAAGGAAATCAAGCCTGAGCTTCATTCAAACATTAAGCAGCGCAAAACCAGTAAGTTTCAACTTATGGAATGATAGGAAAAAATGGTCAATGACAATCAACATCCTGATATAACATATGAGGAAAAGGTATTAGGTTTGCTCAGACTGACTCAAATATGAGGATACCAACAAAACATTAAACCTCTAGAACAGAACTGCTGATCGTTCTATTACCACTCAACAAATAGAAATTTAATGTAAAAATAATCAGAAAATCAATGTCTAATTAGCCTACACCAAGTGAGTTCAGCAGTGCCAGTGCTCTGGTGGCAATATTACCTGGAATCCCAAAACAGCGAATATGTGTATCTGATGGCAATATTATGTATTGTGGTAAGGTTGACAGCTTGCTGATAAATTCATAGAATCATCTCCCCGAAACAAGAATTAGATATTTCATCTTCTTTCCAAGATTCCATTTTGTAACATTATAAATAAATTTATCAGTAACATTCCCACGGCACACATCTATTAATCGCAAAGTTTGTTTCCATGCAGGCATTTCGAGACATTGATTAACCTCTGTTACAAGAAAGAGACAGGGAAGCAGAGAAAGTAAAGAAAAATTCCATCTACACTTTCACACATTTATTAATTAAAAAAAAAAAAAAAACTTTTGGTGAACCATAATAACAGAAACTTCATGTTGATATCTAGAATCAATAAAGTAACAAGCATGCAGGACATTTCATAACAATAGAAAAAAATGAAGGAATCTATTTTGTTGCTAAATTTCTCTATGTTCCCAGCGTTGAATTTATAAGTGCAAACAACACATGAATGAAAGAATTTGTGGAAATGTTTGAGATGCTAATTTATAAAATGATATTTTCAAGCATGTTATAAGTCTGAAGACATGCATTTCCGATGTGGCAAACCAAAGAGAGAGAGAGAGAATGTGCAATATTTTGATTGTGAATTATCACTTCAAGAAAACATTAATCAGGGACGCCTTATGCCTGCATATCTCATGTGATAAATGATTGAATATGATTTATAAAGCCACCAAACAGTTAAGACTTAAGAGCATGCCAATGTAAAGCATGTAAACTTCAGATAAAGCAAATGCAGGAAAGTATTAAAAGATGAAATAAGCAAATTTTAAATGCCACAATGACTTTTTCTACTGTAATCCGAAAAGGTACCAGCCTGATCCATAACGTGACCGGACAAGACATAAGTGGAAAAGATTCATGAAAAAATTTGCCCATGCCGACTCAAATCCAGTTGACGACTGACCAGCAAACAGAGGCAGAAACCTATACAATTTGGGAACATACTGAACAAGAACTGTTCGTAAAAGATTTTTAGCATAATTTGCCCCGATAATGCAAGTTACGGGGTAGAACAATCATAATCATTACGTAACAAGGAAAGGAGATAACTTATGACAGGAACAACACGTATAGTAACAATAAATATGAAGCATGAATCATATGCGGGGGAGTAAATAGATATACAAAAGCACATAACCAATTTCAAGTAGATTTAAAAAAAAAATAATAATAATAACTAGGGAGCTTAAATGTCTTCACAGAGTGTAACTTGTGGTTATCCTTCCGCCAATCCATTAACTGTCACTACACACACAATTTCATGTGCACACAGAGTACATAAGATTATGTACATACAGGAGGCAAAATAATAAATTATATACTATCAAGTATATACGTATTATGCTCAAATGTGAAGCCAATTGACGACTGACCAGCAAACAGAGGCAGAAACCTATACAATTTGGGAAAATACTGAACAAGGACTGCTGTCCGTAGAAGATTTTTAGCATAATTTGCTCCAGATAATGCCAAGTTATGGGGTAGAACAATCAATATCATTATCTGTAAACAAGGAAAGGAGATAATTTATGACATGGAACAACACATTTAATAACAATAAATATGAAGCATGTATCACAAGCAGTGGGAGTAAATAGATATATGCACAAGCACATGCCTAACCAATTTCAAGTAGATTAAAAAAAAATAATAAAAAATAAAAAATAGGGAGCTTAAATGTCTTCACACAGTGTAACTTGTGGTTATACCTTCCGTAATCCATCAACTCTCACATACACAAACAACTGCATGTGCACACAGATGTACACAAAATTATGTACATGACAGGAGGTCAAACATACTAAATTACAAAACTATTCAAAGTTTTATACATATTCTGGACCAAAATCAGTTCAGACCCTAAAATCCGAGCCAAACTCAAAAATTGATCCGATTGATAAATTAACTATAAAGATCTAACATCGTAAATCATAAGGAGAAAGCAAATTATGATATATATATATATATAGACATGCACACACACACAGAGAGAGAAGGGGTTGAAGGATAAGGTAAACTCACTTGAGGAAGTGGTAATGCTATGAAAAAGTCAATACAAAAGTATGTACGAAGGTAATTGAGAGCTATTTTCTTTGGATGGTCAACTAACTCCCCAGCTCCAACCACCATAGATTCGGGAGCAACATATGCCAGTCTAAACTGCAAAAATACAAATAATAAATCATTTAATCAGACACGTAAAAGAAAATCAATTAGATATATAAGTCACTGTACCAAGATGAATTACAGAAGAACTCCTTAGACAACCATACCACACAAAACTTCCACAATACATAATACGCGATGCATCAGATAACACATATGAAGCTTTTCTTTTGAAAAGTATTTCTTCGGATGCTAAACTAATCAAGCTACCAAATCGCAAAATCAAAGACCTTCAATGCTAAGTAAAACACAATGATAATAAATAAACTAGAAAGACAAAATGATAAGTTATGTTTATCCCTCGAGCATATATCCGACAATCTAGAACAATATAAACATCAGAAAACTTTAATTCTAACAAATACATAGGTGAAAAATAAGCAATGTAGTTCCTATTCTTCCAGTAAAAGTATTACAAATGAGATTATCTTCCTTAATCTAATGAAATCATAATTGAGCTCAATCCGATATATCTGTGTTCAAAAGCTTAATGCTAATTTTGAGCAATTACTTGTCAACTTAAACTTTTGGGTCAAGTGATTACTTGACATAGTATTAATCTATTAGAACAAAGATCTTAAGTTCATACTCCGTATATCTCATGCATCTACATCTATATTTTTGTCTACTTAACAATCCATACCAATGAGCTGAGGAAACAAATTTAAGTTATGCATTTCAGGTCACCATGTTTCTTATTTTATTATTCTTTACCTCTATAGTTTGAGTACATGGCTACTATTGGAAATTGATAAGCAGAATTTGGAACAAAATCAATCTAAGGCTTCACTCTTGCATATGCAGTCTTATGGATGTATGGCTGATCAATGATAAGAGATTTGTACTAATGAAGGAGCTCACTTGTGATTCCAATAAATAGAAATTAATTAGTAGCAAAAATCAGCATAAACCATAATGGCAAGTGTAATGGCAAAAAATAACAACCAACAAAGGATCAATCTACCTGAAGCAGCATATTCAGTAAGTAAACGAAATCAGTCACGGATCTAAGAAACACAATAGTTGTAGTCCATGGCCAGTTGATAGCTATGCACTTACTATCCTGCATCCAGAAAAAGAAGCATATGTAAAAACTACAGGCTGAAGTAATGAAATAAGATGAATATTAATACTGAAAATCTTGAACAAGCACACAACATATTAATAAAACAAACTTAAACACATAGTACCAACGAAAAGTCAAATGATGAACTAAAGATTTTAGAAAAACCTTAAAAGGAAAAAGGGAAAAATACTATCAAATAATCAACAAAGAAAATAGTATTTTGAAAAAATTGGAAGAAAAATCACCGACCATATTTGAAAAAGAAGTAGAAAACCAAGATGACCTGGGCAATTGAGAAGGGTTTCACAACTTAGAGAGTAGAAGGAATACTGCAACAACAGGACATAGGACTTTGCTCCATGGCAACTAAACTAAAACCGTTTCTGAAATCTAGTTAAAATGTCATTTTGAGGGGCTGTGCTTCTCTGATCTGTTTTCTCAACATCAAGTGTTGCACATTCTATTCTCATTAATGGAAATAGCAGGGTTTTGCCCACCCACGTTAAACTTATATTCGTGTTGGTTTTCAGTAGTTATTTTATTTTCATTTCAGGGCAACTAAATTAGGGTTATTTATGAAAGGTTTCAAGTCCCAGCTAGAACATGAAAGACAATATAATATACAACAAGATTTTCCGTAGAAGTGGATATTGATCCTCAGAAGCCATGTGCAAAGTATATGACAAATAAAAGATAAAAACAATATGGGCAGTGAAAGACACATATATATATAATATATATGGACTGTTCTGCGGAAATGGCTACTGCTCAGAAGGCCGTGAGTTGAAATAAATAAATGTATGGTAGAAAATAAGACAAGTGAAAATTTTACAAAACTGCAATTCCTTGCTATGATTGGTAAAACTATCCTTCAAGATAGCTCTATACCGGGGTTTTGCAGGGCTTCAAAGGAAGTTAATCTAGAAATATTAAGAGATACTTTAAAGGAATACCTTTTCTCCTTGTCCCAGAAAAAATGATTTAAAAACTTCACAAACATCTAAGTATCTTCACAGGTGCAATAATAACACTCAAAAAGCATGGGAAATTTTTTTGTTTCAAACATTGAATGTCAAGCATTAAAAAAGTAGCTTTTTGGTTCAAGATAGAATGACAACATTGGTATTTTGGTATGCCCTTTGTAATCCTAGGGAATAATCTTCTATTTAAGAAATCTCTAAGCAATTAAGGAGGCCCTTGGAGCCACTATTAATAAGAAAGCAATAAAAGAGAAGAAATACAACAAAGGTACCATAGGACACGAGTAAAAAAGGACATAAATCCTCTAGAAGCCAGAAATTAACCACCCTAACCCACAGAGCCTAAAGGATCTGTAAGGAAACAGTAACTCGACTCTCCCAAGAATCATACAAACTTGTAAAAGGCGGAAATAATATTAGTATTTGTTCATTTAGACATTTAATGGAGTAAAAAATGGTAATGGAACTTCAAATATGCTCTAAAGTAACATTCACCAAAGGAGATTCAACAAATAAAGTGGTTTTATAAAATTTGATCTCCTAAGTGGACACATATTTGGTCTGTGCTGCTAAAGCCAATTGGTTCCTGAAAAGATAGCTCAAGTGATCAAGAACACACATTATCAATTGTCTCTAAAAATCTAGTAAAATCATGAATAGAGTTCTCCAACTTTCATAACAACTGCCTTCTTTCTGATGCTGGACATAGAAGTAGAAAGATCAAAACTCAAAATCAAGTTGAAAAGATTGAAACTAAAAACTATATTTTAGAATCATATTCAAGAACACAACATATGAAAATGTAATAACTTTGGGAACAACCAAACATAATATTTCCACAACCAAAAATTGATGAAATGTACCCTTTCAATGTGCAACAAGAAGAAAAACGAAGGGTCTATGAAAATCGCCGCCAAGCAAGAAATAACATAAAATTGGTTCCACTGTTGAACAACTTTAGTGTGAGGATTCATGATTCCAGGAACAAACGAACTCAGAAAAGAGAAAAATCTTCTAGCGCAACCTTTGGCGTCCCCGTAAAGAGCATTATACTGACAGCAAACAAAAATAAGACTGTATAAATAAGTTGAAGTTGTGGCCCAAAATGATTCTAGAATAAAAAATCCAATAGGTCATGAATTCGTGTATATAGAATTCTGATAGTAAATTATATTATAATTTTTCCAAAACAAGCATGTATAAAATGATTACAGTTGCATATATGTATGAACATATGTGTGCTGTATACAAATAATGTATTTATATCATAAGTTCTAACCAAAATCCCCAATATTAACACCAAGCTCAACACAGGCAACATCATAACCATGTGACTGGAACGTCCATCAAACTTGAAAGGTCTGCAATAAATTATCTAGCTAGAGTTGTATTGTTGTTCCATGATGCTTCTAAGGACTTGCAACAAAAGTATAAGGCACATGAAAACAGCATCAGAAAGAAAAATCCGCTAGTTGGAGTAAGAAATATACCTTGGCATCAAAAATACGAGAAGTTTTTTGATGTTTTGCTTGTCCAGCTTGGTAATTGTAAAACGTCGGACAAGTTGTGCAATAAGGATCGTTGCACATCCCCAATTGTCCAGACCTCAGTAAATGTTCGTTTTTTTTAGCATAGCTGTCTTCAGACCAATCATTTTGTTCCATTCCACTAAAAGAAGGATATGTTTCTATCTTACGTTCTGGCATTTGAATACTTGTAACACCTTGATTCGGTCGCAAATTGTTTTCCCAATGACGGCTGATATATAAAGGGCCACTCATCTGTATAAATGGTGTTCTTCTCTCATTCCGTAGAGGACCAGTATGGCCAACAAGATTAGGTTGAGGTTCATAGGACTCTGTAGAGTTCATAGGAATAGAAAGTGATGCGCTCCTAGTCCTGGAAGCAAAGACATTAAGCCGAGAATCCACATTTTCATTGGATAAACGGGAATCTGACAGCATTGGTAAATCATCTTTCTCGTAACCAGCCATTTCTTGACCTGCAAAAGAATATCTAATAAACTAAAATCCAATCCACCAAAAAATAAAAATCCCAAAAACTCCAATGTCAGTAACCAATGTACTTGACTTGTATGTACTATGATGGCAAGAAAGCACTTTCAAGGTGAAAAGCAGTCCATTTTTTATTAAGCTAAATCTATAACAGGGAATTTTACTTTAGACTACAAGTTGAAGAGGTGCCATCCTTAATCTCAATGCTAGTACTTCAAAAAATATTTGGAAAGATAGCACAATTTTGCAGAATTTTGGTACTTAATTCAACACTTCTTCTTGCACCAAATTATTTGCTTTTTACGAGGGCACCTCTGCTCACATCCTCTAATTGCGTTTGACATTCCTAAATTTTGTTCATTAAATAGTAACAATAAATAATACAATCAAGTTCAAAACCTTTGTGCTAGAGTTGTTTAAACAAATTTCATCATTCATTTCCAAAAGACAAGTCAAAATCCTGCAAATTTTCTCTCTTTATGAACTCTGTTAAGCAGGTATGAAAAAGCGATTTTAACAAGGGCATCAAGTAACCAAAAGTACTTCTGAAACAAACAACAGTTTTGAGCTTTTTAAAAATTCTGATTCATGACACCAACCACATTCTCATATACCCAGTTAAAAGTTTTACCTATACACAAAACTCAAGACAGACACCAGAAAACTAACCTTACCTTCTTGAAGTTGAGTTCTCAGCAAGTGATCATAGAGAAAAGAACCCTTTGTTATCTATAATAGGCTGCAAGTAAAGAGCTTGGAATTCATTCAATGAAACAAAAGTACTTCTTCCACAACAAACAGCAGTTTTGAGCTCTTTAAAAGCTCTGATTCATGACACCAAGTCACCAACCACATTCTTATGAACTCAGTTACAATTTAAAGCCATATACACAACTACAAGACACAAACGAGAAAACTAAACTTCTTGAAGCCAAGTTCTCAGCAAGTGACAACGGAAAAAAGAACCCCTTTTTTCTCTATAATTTGCTGAGTAAAGAGCTTTAAACTCATTCGATGAAAAACACAAAGTAGTTCCACAACATACAGCAGTTTTGAGCTCTTTAAAAGCTCTGATTCATGATACCAACCACATTCTCATGAACCCAGTTACGGATTTACCTTTATAATACAAAACCACAAGACACAGACAATAAAACTAACATGCTTGAAGCTGAGTTCTCAGCAAGTGGAAATAGAGAAAAGAACCTTTATTCTCTATAATTGGCTGCAAGTAAAGAGCTTTGAACTGATCATTTACTGAAAAACACAACGTACTTCAACAAAAAAACAGCAATTTTCAGCTCTTCAGAAGCTCTAATTCATGAAGCCAACTACATTCTCATGAACCCAGTAAAACTAACCTGCTTGAAGCTGAATTCTCACCAATTGGCAAAGGAAAAAAGAACCCTCCTTTCTCTACAATTGGATGCAAGAAAAGAGCACTGATCTCATTGTTGATGAAGTGAATAGGAAACTTAACTAGCTCTAACAGGAGTGAAAGAGAAAGAGAGAGCTGACTAGACTTAAAGGCCCGGAAGACTTTGAAAAGTCAGTTGGTTTGTTGTAGGAAATGGTTTGGCTTCATGTCATTGGCCAGTTGCTGTTAAATATTATGAGGTGTCTGTCTTTGTGAGGTGGAGTTCCTCTCTCTGTCAAGGGTAAATTACATGGATATCCTATTAGTTTCAAAAATAACAATAATGACCCTATGTGGTTACTATTGCTGTCTTTTCTATTTTTTATCATGTTAGTGTAATGTAAAATACTTGTTTACTTATTATTTTAATTTTTTAAATAGATGATCATATAGATAATTAAAGAGGTTCATGGACATCCCTCTTTGTTTTTTTAAGTATATTATGACAAAATTAAACAATTGTATAATTAATACATATTAGAAATGTCATAATTTATATGCCATCTCCAATTTCAAGAAACAATTTTTAATGATTCAATAGATGTGTCAAAACTTATGTTTCCATTGTCCATTTAATACTTGTTACAATGTTTCATACTTCTATTATTTCTAAAAATAACATGGAATGCGTTTTCAAATTTCGAAAACATAAAATCAAGGGCTCCGTTTGGTCCAAATTTTTGCGTTTTTGAGAAAAGTTTTTTAAAAAAAGTTAAAAAAAGTTGAATTGGGTGGGTACTACGATGTAGGATTTATAAATTAATAAAATACCCCCTATGTTTGTTTGTTTACAAAACACCCCTATAATAAAACATTAAAAGTTAACAAAAACACTCACAACCCACCCTTAAATACAGACAGCCGGCCACCACCGCCGGAGGGTGGCCGAAGTCACCGTATCGGCACATGACCGGCTGGATCTTGCCGGTCGTGTGCCGATATGGCCTGTTCCGGCCAGATTTACGGTGCCTGTATTTGCTCATCAATGACGACCAACAAACGGTTGTCGTTGATGGTCAACGACTACCGTTTGTTGGTCGTCGTTACCGACTGGTTACGGCCTTAGATCTAGCCAGATCCACCGTGGCTCTGGCCGGAAAATGCTAGATCGGCACACTACCGGCCAGATTCAGCCGGTAGTGCGCCATCCTACCAGATTCTGGCCATTTTTCGGCAGTGGTGGCCGGAATCTGGTAAATGTGGATTATTGGGGTGTTTTTGTAATTTTTTAAAAAATATTTAGGGGTATTTAATTAAATTAACAAATTTAGGGGGTTTAAAAAAAGTTGAATAATATTGTGAGTTTTTTGGTATTTTACTGTTTAACTTTTTTGGGAATACTAAAAGTAGTATTCCCAAAAACCAACCAAACGGAGCTAAGGTTTTTATTTTCATTTTGCTACCAAAAACTTTAAGCAAAAAATGATGAGATTATTGTCGATTTCGGGTTCAGGGTTTAGTAAGAATAACCTCGCCTTCTTAATTTTATAAACTAATAATTACTCTCTGTACCATTTTGTTAGTATTCTCTATACGCGATACGTATCCTATGATACGATTCAATACGAGTCGCCAATGATACGTATCAGAGAGTGAATCATAAACATATCTATACGTTGATATGTATCCTACAATATAATATATATCCGTTTATATCCTTAAAAATATCGATATAAACTGATACGATTTTATTAATTTAGGCCAAAGGTCCAAAAAAAATTTCAGGTCGAATTCGGGTCACCCAACCCGGTTCACTAAAACCTATCAAATTTACCTATTTTGCATGAAAAAAGTAAAAAGGAATATGTGTTACCCATTTTGCATGATAATAACAACACAAGTGAAGTTATAGATATTAACATTGATCTTGAAAATGATATAAATGATTGTGAGAAAATGATATATTCTTAATTTTGTAATTAATTTTGATTATGTAATACCATAATTTAAAGCTATTAATACCACAAAATTGTTAATTAATCATGGGGATGATATTAATTTTTAGAAAAATTTATTATTTTTTAGAAAAAGGCATATCCTGCAATACAATACGCGTTACGCGATTCAAAAAATAAGGTTTTCAATACACGATACGATACACGATTTGACAACCATACTCTATATTCCAAAATCATAATATAAAGTATACTTAATTTTTTGGTTGATAAGTATATACGTGCATAGAATCGTGTATAAATATCATTAGATAAGAATACGTAGATGATGGATGTACAAAATGTCATTAGACAAGCATACAAATGACATACCTACAAATGCTATTAGACAAGCATACAAATGTCATTCGACCTAAAATTTTTTTTGGACTTTTGGTCCAACTTAATAAAATCGTATCAATTTATATCGATATTTTTAAGGATACAAACGGATACGTATCATATTGTAGGATACATATCAACGTATAAATATGTTTATGATTCACTCTCTGATACGTATTGTTAACGACCCGTATCGAATCGTATCATACATCATACAATGCCATTAGACTGAGTATGCAGATAAAATAATAAATCAATTCTATTTTTAACACTTCTTCCAGCATTTGATGCAGATATCAAAGCAATTTATATCAAGACAAGGCTACATGGATTAAAGCCACCCATCTTCATTTTATAAAAATCTCATATATAACAATTATAATCACATAATCAAATATAATCTCAAGAGATTGCATTCTAATTATCACAATCAATTCATCCTCCCAGAAATGATTCAACCTGGATACATTGAGGCATAAAAATACTTAATATTAAAATAACTAATCACGTTTATGTTCAAAATAGAATCAAAGAAAATATTTTAAATACATGAACATATAGATCATCTGGTATGTCTGTGGTAATCTAGACCTTTTCATAACCAGGATACACAATGCAGATTCTACAATAGAAAATATTTCTACGACTACGCGTGTGATATTATAATTTACATTATGTATTTTTTTAAAAGCTGGCAAAATATCTAGCTTGATGTTGAAAGCTAGATACTGACACTGTACTGCATATAATCATCAATCAATAATGTGTATCTTACAAGGAGTAGAAAGACTATGATGTGGACGAATGCTTGGACTGAGATTGTGAGGTATCAGCACGATTCAAGCGTTTCTTCCTGTATCGCCAAGCTACCTGAATACGTGTAGCAGCAAGGCTTCGCCAATACGGGGATTCATACCTGCATGTGAAGAGAAAAATGATATTGTTACATCTTGTATTAACGAAAGAGAGATTTTGTTTCTTACCAAAACTTCCTAGAAAATACTGCTTATCCATTGATAATTATTTGTTCTTTCATATTCGTCATAGAAAGTAGGATTCGGCTGAAGTATCGATAAAAATATCGAGCATTTCATAACATCTTACAAGTATTACAAGTCTAACATTTGTTATAACTTGTAATAACAAGTCTCAACAGAATTTAGAAGTCCTACTTTGCTAGATCTGTTTTGGTTTTTTTTCTAGAAATAACTTTGTAAAACAATATCAACATTTGGAAAGTAAATCAGGTGAACTTACTAGAAAATATTACTTTTATATGCATTAAGATATGAATTGATTCAGAAATAACCTTATGGCTCCTTGAACGCGAGGATTCCGCAAGAATCTAGCGAAAAGACTAGTAACTTCTTCAATATCTGATGCTCGGAGTGAAAATGCTTCTACATTTGTTAAGCATTCTACTGTCCTGTTGCTGAGCAAACGCTGCCCGGGGATCCTTTTTTGCTTTACATCTGCAACAGAAATCGTGTTGATGAAAATAATGTTTATTTGTTTCATGCTAAGTCGTCTCAGTCGCGAACAGAAGTCAATTCAACTAAAAGGAGTTAATACTAATCATAATAATACCTCTATTTACAGAAGAATGCTCAAGACACCATGTAAGGAGTTCCTCACCACAAACATCCCCCTCGGATAAGGGAACTCTTATCCCATCTTCTCCTGTGCTCACCATTTTCCCACGCACAATAAAAACCATCTTTTCTATCAGACCACCGTGATATAGAATTTTGCTTTCTTTGATGTATGTCCTTTGTCTCAACCTCTCACAAATCGAATCTAATATCGGTTCGTCCATCAGGGCGAAAATTCGAACCTGCAAAATGACACATTTCCAAGTTTACTACGGATTGACATAATTTGACAACATATTATCAATGACCAAAGCTCAAGGAAGTTACGAAAAGCTACAACTACTGCTAACAATAATGATGATAACGATAAAGACAACAATTTCGTTTTATGCGCAATGCACGAACTCATATACAACTTCAGATTTTTAGATATTCTGTTGCTTACTTTCTTCACAAATTTGAAGAGATGACGTCTGATGTCTCTCCGAAGGTTTTCGGGCAAATTCTCAAACAGCATTTCTTCATTCACCCCTCTGGTTGCAGCCCAATTATATCGTTCAGCTGCTCGTACTTGCCTATTCATTACAGCAATTTTATAGGTCAATTTGTAAATAGATGTTGCAAATCATCTGAGGATAGAACTAGACAAAAGAATGCAATTAATATTCTCATTCTCATCAACGCCATTAGTAAAATCTATGATCTCTTTCACACAGGAGAATAATAGCCCTTGATCAAGCCCACCTAGAGTCAGCGGAGACTAAACATCTCACTGAAACCAAACCTAAGACCAGATATTCTGCATAAAAGGTCAACTACTTTTTCATTTTGCTTTAGACATAAAAGTCTATAGTGCCATTTGCCGGCATGATCCTTCTCGTCACTCAGGAAAAAGCTTTACTTTTGGGATCCAATGAACAATTTACTAGGGGATCAAATAGGGTTCCGATCCATGATTCTAATTAGATAGAATCTACAACACTGCATATATTTTACTTGGAATCGAAAATGAAGAAAGAAGTTGCCTTTGTTATAGTAATAAACTTGACTGCCTATTTATATTGTTCATTCAGGTGTTTTCAGTGACTTGCATGGTGGGCACGTCTAGAGATAAGACAACAGCCCTGATGGGGCATTGACAAAGATCAAAGTTTAAACACAATTTCACGAGCCATGTAGTCAAACAAACACATTTTTCAAATGTAATAATTCACAAGTATGATATAAGTTCAAACTTATGGTGAAATACTTTCTAAGGTCTTCGGGCAAGCGCCTATGGCTCATCCATTGCTCCACATCTCGTCTCCTTAGTGACATGTCTAACTTCCTGAAAAAAGAACAAATATCATTTAGCAAAAAGTCCCACTGAATGATTTATTGAAAATCAAAGTTGTTTAAACAAGCTAAACTTAATTAGTCAAAACTATTCGTAGCAAGAAAATCCTAAGCATACAAAATTTATCGGTAAGAGAGGCATTTGAATATTGGATGTCAAATATTCATGTTAGCCGATTTTCTCTTTAAGACAAACTCTTATTATTATAATTGTGATACCTGATTTGCCACATGTAACCTTCAGAATATGGAAATTTATCAAACATTTTCCAGGTGAATCCGTTGAATTTGAGCAGAGAATCAAATGCATTAATTACAAGTATGTCCAACTCGTTGTATGTCGTTGGATCTATGGATATTATCCACTTATTTAGGGGTTTGAGTTTTGTAGGGGAAAAAAGTACCACTGATAACCGATATGACAATTTTCGAGAAAATGAATTAGTAAAAAGTTGTACCTCTTTACGAGAGCCTGGAGGAAGTTTTGCATATTTCCAATGAGAAAAGCAAAGAGCAGGAGCCCGAGTCCAATAATGGCCATGGTAAAAAGTACTTCCCAAACAAAATAGCTTGGAGTTTGATTTCCCGCAAGAGTACTGATTTGCTTCAAAAATATCAAACATAAACACATAATGTCAACAAACAGTATCAATAAGTTTACAGAGTTTGAAACAATATTTATTTCACTATCAAAAATACTTTTATTAAAAAGATAACAAGACAGAAAAAAAACACATGGGAGAGGAAAATATGAAGCATAAACTGGAAAGCGAAGTACTTCAATCCAAAACCAATTTTTCGTAATTTTACATGTTAAAACAGTGTTACCATTAAAGAACAAAGGAGCAATCAAGCCTGAGCTTCTATTCAAACATTAAGCAGACGCAAAACCAGTAAGATTTCAACTTATGGAATGATAGGAAAACAAATGGTCAATGACAATCAACATCCTGATATAACATATGAGGAAAAGGTATTAGGTTTGCTCAGACTTGACTCCAACTATGAGGCATACCAACAAAACATTAAACCTCTACGAACAGAACTGCTGTACGTTCTATTACCGCTCAACAAATAGAAATTTAATGTAAAAATTAATCAGAAAATCAATGTCTAATTAGCCTACACCAAGTGAGTTCAGCAGTGCCAAGTGCTCTGGTGGCAATATTACCTGGAATCCCCAAAACAGCGAATATGTGTATCTGATGGCAATATTATGTATTGTGGTAAGGTTGACAGCTTGCTGATAAATTCCATAGAAATCATCTTCCCCGAAACAAGAATTAGATATTTCATCTTCTTTCCAAGTATTCCATTTTGTAACATTATAAATAAATTTATCAGTAACATTCCCACGGCCACAATCTATATAATCGCAAAGTTGGTTTCCATCGCAGGCATTTCGAAGACATTGATTAACCCTCTGTTACAAGAAAGAGACAGGGAAGCAAGAGAAAGTAAAGAAAAAAGTAAAGAAAAATTTCATCTACACTTTCACACATTTATTAATAAAAAAAAAAAACTTTTCTGGTGAACCATAATAACAGAAAGATAACTTCATGTTGATATCTAGAAATATAAAGTAAACAGCATGCAAGGACTTATCAAAAATAGAAAAAAATGAAGGAATCTATTTTGTTGCTTAAATTTCTCTGTTCCCAGCGTTGATTTATAAGTGCAAAAACAAAATGAATGAAAGAATTTGTGGAAATGTTTGAGATGCTAATTTATAAATGATATTTTCAAGCATGTTATAAGTCTGAAGACATGCATTTCGATGTGCCACCAAGAGAGAGAGAGAATGATGCAATATTTGATTGTGAATTATCACTTCAAGAAAACATATCAGGGACTGCCTTATGCCTGCATATCTCATGTGATAAATGATTGAATATGATTTATAAATGTACCACAAACAGTTAAGCAACTTAAGAGAAGCATGTCAAACTTCCAGATAAAGCAAATGCAGGAAAGTATTTAAAAGATGAAATAAGCAATTTTAAATGCTATATGACTTTTGCCTACCTGTAACCGAAAAGGTACCAGCCTGTCCAATAACTGACCGGACAAGACATAAGTGAAAAATTCATGAAAAAATTTGCCCATGCCGACTCAAATCCGTGATGACTGACCAGCAAACAGAGGCAGAAACCTATACAATTTGGGAACATACTGAACAAGAACTGCTGTTCGTAAAAGATTTTAGCATATTTGCTCCGATAATGCAAGTTACGGAGAACATCAATATCATTATCTGTAAACAAGGAAAGGAGATAACTTATGACATGGAACAAAACGTATAGAACAATAAATAGAAGCATGTACATATGCGGTGGGAGTAAATAGAATATACAAAGCACATGCCTAACCAATTCAAGTAGATTAAAAAAAAAAAAAAAAAATACTAGGGAGCTTAAATCTTTCACACAGTGTAACTTGTGGTTATACCTTCGCCAATCCATCATCGTACATACACACACAATTCATGTGCACACAGATGTACATAAGATTATGTACATAACAGGAGGTCAAACATACTAAATTATAATACTATTCAAAGTTTTACATATTCTGGACCAAAATCAGTTCAGACCCTAAATCCGAGCCAAATCAAAACCGATCTGATTGTACATTAAGTATAAAATCTACCATCTAAATCATAGAGGCAGCAAATATTAAAAAAAAAAAAAAATAATGAAAGAAAGAATAAAAACATAAAAAATTACCACAGAGAAGCGAAGAGTTTTTTTTTTTTTTTTGATATCAGAAGCGGAAGGGGGTTGAAGGATAAGGTAAACTCACTTGAGGAAGTGGTAATACTATGAAAAGTCAAAACAAAGTATCCAGAATGATGAGAGCTATTTTCTTTGGATGGTCAACAACTCCCCAGCTCCAACCACTAGATTCGGGAGCAACATATGCCATTTAAACTGCAAAATACAAATAAATAATATTTAATCAGACAAGCAAAAGAAAATATTAGATATAAGTCATGTACCATGCTGAATTACAGAAGAACTCTTAGACAACCATACACACAAATTCCACAATACATTTGCAATGCATCAGATAACACATATGAAGCTTTCTCTTAAAAGTATTTCTTAGGATTCTAAACTAATCAAGCTACCAAATCGCAAAATCAAAGACCTTCAATGCTAAGTAAAACACAATGATAATAAAAAAACTGAAAAGAAAATGATAGAAGTTATGTTTATCCCAAGCGTATATCCAACAATCTAGACCATGTAAACATCAGAAAACTTTATTCTAAAAAATACATAATGACAAATAAGCATGTAGTTCCTTTTCTTCAGTAAAAGTATTACAAATGAGATTATCTTCCTTAATCTAATGCAACCATAATTGAGCTCAATCCAATCTTGTGTTAAAAAGCTTAATGCTAATGTTGAGCAATTACTTGTCAACTTAAACTTTTAGGTCAAGTGATTACTTGATAGTATTAGTCTATTGAAACAAAGATCTTAAGTTCATATTCGTATATCTCATGCACTACATCTATATTTTTGTCTTAACAATCAACCCATGACTGAGAGAAACAAATTTAAGTTATGCATTTCAGGGCACCATGTTTCTATTTTTCTATTTTTACCTCTATAGTTTGGAGCATGCTACTATTGGAAATTTGAAGAAACAAAATCAATCTAAGCCTTCATCTTGCATATTCAGTCTTATGGATGTAGGCTGATCAATGATATGAGATTGTATAATGAAGGAGCTCACTTGTGGTCCAATAAATAGAAATTAATAGTAGCAAAAATCAGCATAAACATATGGCAAATGTTATGACAAAAAGAAAAACCAATAAAGGATCAATCTACCTGAAGAAGCATGTTCAAAAGTACACGAAATCGTCACGGATCTAAAAACACAATAGCTGTAGGCCAGGGCAGTTGATGGCTATGCACTTATTATCCTGCATCCAGAAAAGAAGCATATGTAAAACTACTGTGAAGTAATGAAATAAGATGATATTAATACTGAAAATCTTGACAAGCACACAACATATATAAAAAACAACCTAAACACATAGTAACAACGAAAAGTCAAAGATGAACTACAGTTTTTAGAAAAATCTAAAAGAAAAAGGGAAAAAATACTACAAATAATCAACAAAAAAATATATATTTTGAAAAATGGAAGAAAACACCACCATATTTGAAAAAGAAGTAGAAAAGCCAAAGACCAGGGCACTATTGAGAAGGGTTTCACAAGTTAGAGTAGAAGGAATATTGCAACAACAGGAAATAGGACTTTGCTCCATGGCAACTAAATAAAACCTTTCTGAAATCCAGTTAAAATGTCATTTTGAGGGGCTGTGCTTGTCTGATTGTTTTCTCAACATCAGGTGTTGCACATTCTATTCTCATTAATGGAAATAGCAGGTTTTGTCCAACCACGTTAAACTTGTATTGTTTGGTTTTCATAGTTATTTATTCATATAGGGTAACTAAATTAGGGTTATTATGAAAGTTTTTAGTCCTGCTAGAACATGAAAGAAGTAGATATTACAAAAGATTTTCGGTTAGAAGTGGGGATGATCCATGCGCAAAGTTATGACAAATAAAAGATAAAACTATGGGCAGTGAAACAACACACACATATATATATATACATATGGACTTTCCACGAAATGATACTGCTCAGGAGGCCATGAGTTGAAAACAAAACGTATGGTAGAAAATAAGACAAGTGCAAATTTTAGAAACTGCAATTCCTTGCTATTGTAAAGCTATCCTTCAATATAGCTCTCTACCGGGGTTTTGCAGGACTTGAAAGAAGTTAATCCAGAAAAATTAAGAGATACTTTAAAGGATGCTTTTCTCCTGTCCCAGAAAAATTGATTAAAAACTTCACAAACATCTAAGTATCTTCACAGGTGCAATAATAACACTCAAAAAGCATGAGGAAAAGATTTTGTTTCAAAGTTGAAGACCAAGCATTAAAAAAAAGTAGTTTTTTGGTTCAAGATGAATACAACATTGGATTTTGGTATGCCCTTCTTCTTCATGTTTCTCTGTAATCTAGGAAAATCTTCTTCATTTAGAAATCTCTAGCAATTAAGGAGACCTTAAGAGTCATAAATAACAGAAAGCAATAGAAGAGAAGAAATACTAGAACAAAGGTACCAAGGACATGAGTCAAAGGAAATAAATTCTCTAGAAGCCAGAAATTAACCACCCTAACCACAAAGCCCAAAGGATCTGTAAGGAAACAGTAACTCGACTCTCCCAAAGAATCATGCAAACAGTATAAAGGCAGAAATGATATTAGTATCTTGTTCATTAGACACTTAATGGAGTAAAAATGGTAATGGAACTCATATATGCTCTAAAGTAATATTCACCAAGGAGATTCAACAAATAAAGTGATTTAAAAATTGATCTCCAAGTGGACACCTATTTGGTTGTGCTGCTAACTAAAGCCAATGGTTTTGAAAAGATAGCTCAAGTGAACACACATTATCAATTTTTCAAAAATCTAGTAAAATCTGAATAGAGTTTTCCAACTTTTGTAACAACGCCTTCTTCGATGTGTGGACATAGAAGTAGCAAGATCAAAACTCAAAATCACGTTGAAAGGGTTGAAGTATTACTAAAAACTACTTTTTAGAATCGTATCAAGAACACAAAATATGAAAATTAATAACTTTGGGAACAACCAAACTTAATTTCCACAACCATAATTGATGAAATGTACCTTTTGGATGTACAAAAGAAGAAAAACAAAGGGTCTATGAAAATCGCCACCAAGCAAGAAATAACATAAAAATTGGTTCCACTGTTGAACAACTTTAGTAGAGGATTCATGATTCCAGGAACAAACGAACTCAGAAAAGAGAAAAATCTTCTAGCGCAACCTTTGGCTCCCCGTAAAGAGCATTATACTGAAAGCAAACAAAATAAGACTGATAATAAGTTGAAGTTTGGCCAAAATGATTCAGAATAAACAATCAAGTATCAAATAAGTGTTGTATAGAATTAGATATTAATATATATTAAATTTTCCAAAACAAGCATGTATAAAAGATTACAGTTGCATATATGTGAATATATGTGTGCTCTATACAAATAAGTATGTATATCATAAGTTCTAACCAAAATCCCCAATATAACAACAAGCTCAACACAGGCAACATCAAACATGTGACTGGAACTCCATCAAACTTGAAAGGTCTGCAATAAATAGCTAGCTAGAGTTGTATTGCGTTCATGATGCTTCTAGGAGTTGCAACAAAAGTATAAGGCACATGAAACACATCAGAAAGAAAAATCCGCTAGTCGAGTAAGAAAATACCGTGCATCAAAAAGACCAGAAGTTTTTTGATGTTTTGCTTGGCCGCTTGGTAATTGTAAAAACGTCGGACAAGTTGTGCAATAAGGATCGTTGCAAATCCCCCATTGTCCAGACCTCAGTAAATGTTCTTTTTTCTTGCATAGCTATCTTCAGACCAATCATTTTGTTCCATTCCACTAAAAGAAGGATATGTTTCTAGTCGTTCTGGCATTTGAATACTTGTAACACTTGATCAGTCGGAAATTGTTTTCCCGATACGGCTAATATATAAAGGGCCACTCATCTGTATAAATGGTGTTCTTCTCCATTCCGTAGAGGACCAGTATGGCCAACAAGATTAGGTTGAGTCATAGGACTCTGTAGATCCATAGGAATAGAAAGTGATGCGCCTGGTCCTGAGAGCAAAGACATTAAGCCGAGAATCCCATTTTCATTATCTGACAGCATTGGTAAATCATCTTTCTCGTAACCAGCCATTTCTTGACCTGCAAAAGAATATCAAATAAACTAAAATCCAATCCACCAAAAAATAAAAATCCCAAAAACTCCAATGTCAGTAACCAATGTAGAAAAGCTTGACTTCTATGTACTATGATGGCAAGAAGAGCACTTTCAAGGTGAAAAGCAGTCCATTTTTTATTAAGCTAAATCTACAACAGGGAATTTTACTTTAGACTACAAGTTGAAGAGGGGCCACCCTTAATCTCAATCCTAGTACTTAAAAAAATATTTGGAAAGATAGCACAAATTTGCAGAATTTTAGGACTTAATTCAACACTTCTTCTTTGACCAAATTATTTGCTTTTTATGAGGGCACCTCAGCTCACATCCTCTAATTGCATTTGACATTCTTAAATTTTGTTCATTAAATAGTAACAATAAATAATACAATCAAGTTCAAAACCTTTGTGCTGGAGTTGTTTAAACAAATTTCATCATTCATTTCTAAAAGACAAGTCAAAATCTTGCAAATTTTTCCTCTTTATGAATTCTGTTAAGCAAGTATGAAAAAGCGCTTTTAACAAGGGCATCAAGTAACCAAAAGTACTTCTGAAACAAACAACAGTTTTGAGCTCTTTAAAAATTCTGATTCATGAAACCAACCACATTCTCATATGCCCAGTTAAAAGTTTTACCTATGCACACAACTACAAGACATACTCCAGAAAACTAACCTTACCTTCTTGAAGTTGAGTTCTCAGCAAGTGATCTTGGAGAAAAGAACCCTTTGTTCTCTATAATTGGCTGCAAGTAAAGAGCTTGGAATTCATTTAATGAAAACAAAAAGTACTTCTTCCACAACAAACAGCTGTTTTGAGCTCTTTAAAAGCTTTAATTCATGACACCAACCACATTCTCATGAACTCAGTTACAATTTAAATCCATATACACAACTACAAGACCCAAACAAGAAAACTAACCTTCTTGAAGCTAATTCTCAACAAGTGACAACGGAAAAAAGAACCCTTTTTTCTCTATAATTTGCTGAGTAAAGAGCTTTGAACTCATTCGATGAAAAACACAAAGTAGTTCCACAACATACAGCAGTTTTGAGCTCTTTAAAAGCTCTAATTCATGACACCAACCACATTCTCATGAACCCAGTTACGGTTTTACCTTTATAATACAAAACCACAAGACACAGACAATTAAACTAACCTGCTTGAAGCTGAGTTCTCAGCAAGTGGAAATAGAGAAAAGAACCTTTATTCTATATAATTGGCTGCAAGTAAAGAGCTTTGAACTGATCATTTACTGAAAAACACAACGTACTTCAACAAAAAAACAGCAATTTTGAGCTCTTCAAAAGCTCTAATTCATGAAGCCAACTACATTCTCATGAACCCAGTAAAAGTTTCACCTTTATAAACAAAACCACAAGACACAGAAATGAAAACTAACCTGCTTGAAGCTGAATTCTCACCAAGTGGCAAAGGAAAAAAGAACCCTCCTTTCTCTACAATTGGATGCAAGAAAAGAGCATTGAACTCATTGTTGATGAAGTGAATAGGAAACTTAACCAGCTCTAACAAGAGTGAAGGAGAAAGAGAGAGCTGACTATACTTAAATGCCCGGAAGACTTTGAAAAGTCGGTTTGTTGTAGGAAATGGTTTGGCTTCATGTTATTGGCCAGTTGCTGTTATCTACTTTGAGTCTGTCTGTGTCTCTTTTCATGAGGTGGAGTTCCTCTCTCTGTCAAGGGTAAATCACATGTATATCCTATTTGTTTCAAAAATAACAATAATAACCCTACGTGGTTACCATTGCTTTCTTTTCTATTTTTTATCATGTTAAGTATAATGTATAATACTTGTTTACTTGTTATTTCCATTTTTTTAATAGAAAAAAATAGATAATCATATACATAATTAATAGAGTTCATGGACATCCCTGTTTGTTTTTTTAGGTATATTATGACAAAATTAAACAATTGTATAATTAATATATATTAGAAATGTCATAACTTATATGCCATCTCCAATTTCAAAAAACAATTTTTAATGATTCAATAGATGTGTCAAAACTTGTGTAAACAAAGTACGGTTTTTTAAATTGAAACCGTAATTAAATATTAAGAATTTACAAAATGTAAAAAGCATGATTTATATGTTTTCATTGTCCATTTAATACTTGTTTCATACTTCTATTATTTCTAAAAATAACATGGAATGCGTTTTCAAATTTTGAAAATATAAAATCTAGTTTTTTATTTTCATTTTTCTACCAAAAATTTTAAGCAAAAAATGATGAGATTATTGTAGATTTCGGGTTTAGGGTTTAGTAATAATAACCTCGCCTTCTTAATTTTATAAACTAATAGTTACTCTCCACATTCCAAAATTAGAATATTAAGCATCAAATGTAATGGAAGAAGGGGAAATATTGTTAATTTCTAAAGTTAAAGTATAGATTTGTAGTAAAGCTATAGATCAGGAGTGAAAATGAAATTTTCTTAAACAATCAACCAACCAATATAGAGTGATAATAAACAAAGGCTACGGAGTTTACTCGTTTGGTCTTCGGCTCGCCTTCCTGGAAGTTGGCCCATTTGATATCATTTCAATTTTGGCATTTTGCGCAACAATAATTATAAAAATTACTATTTATTCGTACGTCTATCCAATTAAATCTTTCTATTTATATAATCTTTTATCATGTGATATCCAATAAAAATGTCATTAACATGTGAATATATTTTATTTTTTTTGGTTATATATTTATCATGTGACAATTAGGCATGAGCCAATAAAACTAATGTAGGGAATGGACACAATCCGGATCGAAAAGATTGAGATCGAGATTGTAAAATTTGGGAATTTTTAGATTGTTCGATGTTTAATTTAAGTCGAAGGCTAGGGTTTGGGGAGCTTCATCCTTTGACGGTTTGACCCAACCCTCAAGCAATGTATACCTTGACCCACTTAAGGTTTAATTCTTAATTTATGATTTTGTTGGGTTGTTTGGTTGGTGAGAAAATGCAAGAAAGTTAAAGAGAAAATGAGTGGCATCTGCTTGTGAAAATGAGTGGATACTTCATATGGCGGGGAGTTGACCATTTGTAAGCAATAAAGTGGAGATTGTTTTCAAACTTTCAACAATTTTTGTTTTTTAAATAATAATAACAATTATTATTAGTGTGTTAGAATTTTTGTTTTTTAATTAAGAAATATAAATCAAATTCTCCTCGACCATGTTGTTAAAGAAATTAAAAAAAAAAAAAAAATACCCCTAGGTGATCGGGTGGGATGATAGGAATTTTTTGATGTATTACTTAAGAGGTATTGAGTTCGATTCCTCTCGATTATTAGTCAGGAAGGTACATTGCAGCTTTGGAACATTAGCACAGAGAAAAAACTTTATGAGTTCAAGGGATGGGAACCATCTATCTCTAGTTAGTGCAATGTATAATACTTGTTTACTTATTATTTTAATTTTTTAAATAGAAAAAAATAGATGATCATATATATAATTAAAGGGGTTCATGGACATCCCTCTTTGTTTTTTTAATTATATTATGACAAAATTAAACAATTGTATAATTAATACATATTAGAAATGTCATAATTTATATGCCATCTCCAATTTCAAAAAACAATTTTTAATGATTCGATAGATGTGTCAAAACTTGTGTAAAGAATGTACGGTTTTTTAAATTGAAACCGTAATTAAATATTAAGAATATACAAAACGTAAAAAGCATGATTTATATGTTTCCATTGTCCATTTAATACTTGTTACAATGTTTCATACTTCTATTATTTCTAAAACTAACATGGAATGGGTTTTCAAATATCGAAAACATAAAATCAAGTTTTTTATTTTCATTTTGCTACCAAAAACTTTAGGCAAAAAATGACAAGATTATTGCCGATTTCGGGTTCAGGGTTTAGTAAGAACAACCTCGGCTTCTTAATTTTATAAACTAATAATTACTCTCTGTATCATGTTGTTAGTATCCTCTGATACGCGATACGTATACGAGTCACCAACGATACATATCAGAGAGTGAATCATAAACATATCTATACGTTGATATGTATCCTACAATATGATATGTATCCGTTTGTATCCTTAAAAATATCGATATAAATTGATACGATTTTATTAATTTGGGCCAAAGGTCCAAAAAAAAATTCAGGTCGAATTCGGGTCACCCAACCCGGTTCACTAAAACCTGTCAAATTTACCTATTTTGCATAAAAAAGGTGAAAAGGAATATGTGTTACCCATTTTACATGATAATAATAACACAAATGAAATTATAGATATTGACATTGATCTTGAAAATGATATAAACGGTTGTGAGAAAATGATATATTCTTAAATTTTGTAATTAATTTTGATTATGTAATACCATAATTTAAAACCATTAATATCACAAAATTTGCCAATTAATCATGGGAATGATATTAATTTTTAGAAAAAAATTATTATTTTTTTAAAAAAGGCATATCCTGCAATACAATACGCGATACACGATTCAAAAAATTAAGTTTTCAATAGACGATACCATACACGATTTGACAACCATACTGTATATTCCAAAATCATAATATAAAGTATACTTAATTTTTTGGTTGATAAGTATATACGTGCATAGACTGAGCATACAGATAATGAACATACATCATACAATGCCATTAGACTGAGCATGCAGATAAAATAATACATCAATTCTACTTTAACACTTCTTCCAGAGGTGCATAGACATTTGATGCAGATATCAAAGCAATTTATATCAAGACAAGGCTACATGGATTAAAGCCACCCATCTTCATTTTATAAAAATCTCATATATAACAATTATAATCACATAATCAAATATAATCTCAAGAGATTGCATTCTAATTATCACAATTAATTCATCCTCCCAGAAATGATTCAACCTGGATACATTGAGGCATAAAAATACTTAATATTAAAATAACTAATCACGTTGATGTTCAAAATAGAATCAAAGAAAATATTTTAAATACATGAACATATAGATCATCTGGTATGTCTGTGGTAATCTAGACCTTCTCATGACGAGGACACACAACGCAGATTCTAGAATAGAAAATATTTCTACGACTACGTGTGTGATATTATAATTTACATTATATATTTTTTTAAAAGCTGGCAAAATATCTAGCTTGATGTTGAAAGCTAGATACTGACACTGTACTGCATATAATCATCAATCAATAATGTGTATCTTACAAGGAGTAGAAAGACTATGATCTGGAAGAATGCTTGGACTGAGATTGTGAGGTATCAGCACGATTCAAGCGTTTCTTCCTGTATCGCCAAGCTACTTGAATACGTGTAGCACCAAGGCTTCGCCAATATGGGGATTCATACCTGCATGTGAAGAGAAAAATGATATTGTTACATCTTGTATTAACGAAAGAGAGATTTTGTTTCTTATCAAAACTTCCTAGAAAATACTGCTTATCCATTGATAATTATTTGTTCTTTCGTATTCGTCATAGAAAGTAGGATTTGGCTACAGTATCGATAAAAATATCGAGCATTTCATAACATCTTACAAGTATTACAAGTCTAACATTTGTTATAACTTGTAATAACAAGTCTCAACAGAATTTAGAAGTCCTACTTTGCTAGATCTGTTTGTTTTTTTTAGAAATAACTTTGTAAAACAATATCAACATTTGTAAAGTAAATCAGGTGAACTTACTAGAAAATATTACTTTTATATGCATTAAGATATGAATTGATTCAGAAATAACCTTATGGCTCCTTGAACGCGAGGATTCCGCAAGAATCTAGCGAAAAGACTAGTAACTTCTTCAATATCTGATGCTCGGAGCAAAAGCTTCTACATTTGTTAGCTTCTTACATGTCCTGTTGCTGAGCACCCGCTGGCCCGAGGATCTTTTTTTTTGCTTTACATATGCCACAGAAAATCATGTTGATGGAAATAAATGTTATATGTTTGCATGCGAAGCGTCTCGTGGCGAACAGAATCAATTCAATAAGGATTTATACGAATCATAATAAATACCGTCTATTTACAGCCGAAACTGTCTCAAGACACCATGTAGAAGTTTCCTCACCACAAACAGCCCCCTCGGATAAGGGAACTCTTATCCCTCTTCCTCCTATGCTCCCCATTTTTTCCCACGCACAATAACACCATCTTTTCTATCACAGCTACCGTGATCTAGAATTTTGCTTTCTTTGCTGTATGTCTTTTGTCTCAACCTCCTCACGTAAATCAACTCTAAAATTGTTCTTCCATCAAGCAAAAATCCGACCTGTGAAATGACACATTTCCAAGTTTACTACGATAGACATAATTTGACAACATATTATCAAGACCACAGCTCAAGGAATTTACAAAAGCTACCACTACTGCTAACCATAAAGACAACAATTTCGTTTTGACTGCGCATGTCACCAACTGGTATACAACTCAGATTTTAGATATTCTGTTGCTTACTTTCGTCACCAATTTGAAGCGATGGCGTCCTGATGTCTCTCGAAGGTTTTCAGGCAATTCTCCAAACAGCATCTTCTCATCCCCCCTCTGGTTGCGCCCAATTATATCGTTCATGCCAGCGCTCGTACTGCCTATTCATTACAGCA